ATGGCCCTTTAATAATTTTTATTTTTAAAGTTTGTCCGGACTACTTCTCTTATACCACTAAAGCAATTTCAATGAAACTTTACAGGATTGATCTGTAGCTCAAGTCCTTGCGCATATTGCACGGGTTTTCCGGTTGAATTATTTTTGGCCGAGTTATGGCCCTTTGATAAAAAGGTGTTTTTTCTGTGTGTTCCCAGATACGCAAAAGCTTGTCCGGACTACTCCTCATAAACTACTGGTGCAATTTTATCCAAACTTTACAGGAATGATCAGTACCAAGTTTAGTTGTGCACTGTCCGTCTGTCTGTCCGTCTGTCACAAACTTTGTCCCAACATGAAATTGGCCATCATGAGGCGACACATGTAATTACTGATCGCTCTTGTTATTTTTTTCATGGCTTAAGTTAGGAAAAGCTAATGCAAAATAAACATATACTATATAACTTTAGTAGATTTAGAATCCGTATATATATATATCGTATAGCAAGGTTTTTGCATATTTTTGAACTGGGTCTTATACCAACGGCCGTGGCACACACCCCTCTACACATGGCCACCTTTCTTTATTTAAAAAAAGTTAAATGAATTCAATGCATGTTTGTTGCAAAGCAGAAGTTTGTTTCCCCTTGCACTTACCCACCTTATTGTTTCCTAAAACCATGTCATACTGTAGATCTACTTAGTGAAAAAGGTGATTTAAGGATCAATATGATCCTTGTTTGTATTTTATATTACTGTTCTTATTTATAATTTATGCAATTTTAGATAGAGTTTCCTGTGAATAACTGTTATTTTGGGATAAAATGGAAAAATAAAGTATAATTTCATAACTTATTGTCTTGACTTTTTTAATATTAAACTGCCTAGGAACTTAAATAAGAACATATTTCAAAGGGAGGTAAAACACTAGTATACCAGTGGAGTTATTTACTGAAGTGAATGCCCTTGGATTGTGTACTTTTGTTGAAAATTAAGGGTAGTTGATTTAAGATCATGTAAACATATGTTTACCAATTCAGACAAAAATGCAAAGTTGTAAACCGTAATGTAATAGCACACAATTTTTCATGACTGAATATATTTATGAAGTTTCTGAGGAATTTTATTTTGTTTTCAAGGAATTGCTTAAAATTTTATGCCAACTGACATCATATTAGCCGCGTCACGACAAAACCAACATAATGGGTTTGCGACCAGCATTAATCCAGACCAGCCTGCACATCCGCGCAGTCTGATCAGGATCCATGCTGTTGGCTGTCAGTTTCTCTACTTATAAGAGGGTTTGTAAGCGAACAGTATGGATCCTGCTCAGACTGCGCGGATGCGCAGGCTGGTCTGGATCCATGCTGGTCGCAAACCCATTATGTTGGTTTTGTCATGACGCGGCTCATATTCTCTTTTGAAATAACAAGATCTTTTGTAAATTATACAAATTTTGCATTGTTACATAGAAAGGCGCTGGCACTCGTACACAAAAATTGCCAGTGGAAGACCGCTCCAGTTCCTTACTCTAGCTAGCACCTGGGTAGATTCTCTTGTAACCTAGTTACACATTACAATGTCTCTGGTTGGAGCAAGGAACAAGGTACCTTAACCACTCAGAAAGGAAGGCACCACCAACTTCACAACTCAAAAATAACTGTAGAAGTAGAGGAATAAATTTTACTATCCAGTTTCAATTACTGCAAAATATTATGGAATTACTTAATACATCAGTTATTATTTCTTATTACGGTTTGTACGGAATTAAAAACTGTCTGAAGAGCAAATTAGCTGTCCACTTTCTGTAATATGGTGAATTTACTGAGTGATAATATGAAGTGAATATGTATCAGAATTAGTTCACATGTCTTCAGAATTGGTAAGTGGTGTTTTCCCAACTTTACAAGATAGTTAGTGGTTCATAACAGATCAATGTTTGAAAGTATGCTATAATCAGAAAACTTTTTCATTTTAATTATCATTAACTATCTGAACAGACTAATCGGCTATTTTTTTCCCTTTTATTATCAATTATAATATACGTATTCAAGATTATAAATACCATTCCTAATCGCACCTCAGAGCTTTTGAGTTGCTGACCATTTGTAGCTATTAATCACAAAGTTCAATCTAGTTTCCAATTAGCAAATGGGAAAACACTGTCCTACATAGAGTCATCATCCCGAGCAGCAAAGCTAGAAAGTGAAAAAAATTTCTTAAAGGCACAGTAAAATGTCTCAGAAATGAATTCTTTTTTTTTTGTCCTTCATAGAAAGGACAAAGATGAGTTAAATAATACTTAAGTAATGATTTACATGAGTTTGCATAATCTCCTGACAACAGTGGTGCTAAAAGTGAAATAATTTTTCATAAAAGTAGCAAAAGTAGTATTTTGTCTTCCATACAAAATACTAAATCACTATAACTGAGGCAACAGAAACCCTAAAGTTCCGTAACACTAAAATAACATAATGTTATTATACATTGTTCAGTACAATACTGAATTTTATTTGACCATGAGTACAAAACTGTTAAACCTATATTGGACAAACCACCATCCTTAACATTTTGGCAGAATTTTCTAGCTGAATGCAGTATAGACTTGATATGGAATTTTTGGACCAAGAAAACAAAGGTAGATTCAGAGTACAATAGTGATTTGATATGAATTTTTGGATTGAAAAATTAGATCTAAATAATATTGACTTGTAAAATTTGTTATTATTAGATAAATACATCTAAAACTAGACCACTATTTTTCTGTATGATATTGATCTAAACGATTTTGGTAATAGTTTATTGTTTGTTCTTTTTTTCTTGTTTGTTTGTTTAGTTATTTAACCACTTTATTACCACATGATAATTTTGTGAAAAATGGCCTTTTTCATTGAAAAGCCTCTCGTTACAAGTAACTATAAGAATTGTTTCAATAGTGATCAAACTTCCTGTTACCATGGCAACAAGGGGGCATCTTAAAATTGCCATAAATCACTATTTTGCATTGTTTTTTGCCATCAAAACTGATTCCAAAGTGCTGCAACTTTTCAAGTCAAAGGCTTTTCAGTGTTGGTTACATGTTACCCTATGATTGACCTGAGGTCATTTTTAGCCTCTCACAAGTCCTAAATTTTCCTTGGCGATAAGGGGGCTACCGCCCCCATCAAACCCCCAAATAGAAAGGGAGGAAAACCCCCATTGGCACCCCCTTGATGTATCTTTTTGATAAGGGGGCGGGCTGAAAAAGTGATCACCATTTTAAACTACATTTCTCAAACAAACACAAGTCTTTGCAGCCTAAGTAAGGCCTTTTTTCACAATTTGAGACTTCAAAGAGGGGGTGAAAAAGGCATTAAAAGGCGTGTATATGCGGGGATGGGTTAAAGGCACATTTATATTATATTGCCCAGGAAACAAATATTTTTAAGCCTCAGAAACAAATATATTTGACTTCTGTAGAAAGGGCAGGTGAAGCATGAATTTCATGTATAAATAATTAGTTTTAGAGAATGTTAAATGCTTGATACCCGAATAAAGAAACAAAAAATTGAACTAATTTGTCATAAAAGTAGCAAAATGTTCATCAAAGTAGCAAAATGTAAACAAAGTAGTATTTTGACTTCCATACTAAATACTAATTCACTATATTGAAAAAAACCAACATAATGAAAAAGATGGTTAAGGTAATTGGCCAATGAGTAACTTTTGGTATGCAACAAAAGTAAATCTACATAAAAATTTAAAAACAACTTTTGAGAAATAAAAGCATTTCTGGGCCTTAATGGGCCTTTAACAAATCACAGCGTATGATCCAATCAGACCAATGTAGTTTTCTTTAATAATCGACACCTTAATTACCGCTATTGAATTAAATTGAAACAATTCAATATAGCATGCCCTATAACATGTCTACTTATGTCTCTTAAATTACACCATACTTTAACAACAATTGACAACTATTTATAGACACAGCGTATAAGGTGCTGTCGTTAGATAGGTCTACATTCCAGACATTCTATCGCACTACTAAGAATAAAGGAGACGGAAAATATAAACCAAATTTATTAGCAAAAGGCAACGTATATAAGATTGTTTTCCGTATGAAACGGTAGATTATTTTACATTACAACGAATAACACCATCGATTGTTGCAAATACTTTATAGTTTTTCAACAGTTTTAATTTATTTTATGTAGTTATTGTAAATTCTCCCAACCTGGCGCTTGGCAAGCTGCCAAACAGCTGTTGATATGTTTGGCTGAGCTTTCCCGCGTCTTGCCAACAGACCACATGACCTCCCTGGGAAAAGTCATTGTATGCGCGAAAGAAAATAGTTCCGTGCCATTCTTTTTATTTTTTCCTAGTTTTGAGGACATAAGTTGATAAATGTATCCATATTTCCATAATAAATTGTTCCCCTTAATTTAATTATGAACGCTTTTTATATGCATATTAGATAAGAAAGAGCGGCAAAATAAAACGGGCACTTGGTTCAGTGGTGAATTAGAGACGAAGGCTTTCCCGCCAATTAATACTCATTCTTGTGTAGGCCACGACAACTTTGTAGTACGCTTGAATTATCTTCGGATTTTTGTCAATTTTTGCAAACTCCTGGATTTAACAAGTTTTGGAATTTATTAAGATCATGTCAGTTTATCATCGTTCTACTGCTAAAAGTCGGATTTTGCAAGAATATCGGAATAGGGAGGAAGAAATCGCTGCTGCATTGTCAAGGTGAGTCGTAGTAATTTCTACACACGCCGTCTCGACATAAACATTGTAGTACACATGTATATGTTAATTTGTATTGGCGTAATCTCAGTGTTGAGAATGAATTTAAATGGAAAGTTTACACAATATTATAGTTTAATAAATATCTTATCATATTTGCAATAATATATTTGTATTAAATACAGTTTTATGGCAAAAATCGTGATGCAAATGACGGCTTGTTTGGAGGTCTGGTCACATGTTTCAGAATGAAAACAAAGGGCAAGTAACTCGCCCAACGCGTCTTTCGCCATGTGGTGAAGACAAGCGTATTTTTACACTTTTTAAAGAAACTTTTGATGTAAAAGCATTATTAATTTAACAAGTTATATTGTTATTACAAACGATAAAAGAATCATCTGATATAAGTTTGTGACATCGGCTTACAACAAAAATGCTGAAAACATTGACATTTAGGAATGTTGGCGCTGTGCCAAAAATGGAGGCTCACCACGTTTCTCAATTCGTATACATCAAATGTTTCAACTATCTACGATGTTGTTCTGCGTATATCAGTGAACAATTTGACTCATTTGTTTACTTTTGAACATGAGTAATATTACTTAGATTTGGTAAATCTATAAACAGTAAAGTATTGTGTACATGGCTGATAAGTTGTATCAGCTGATGAACATCTGACTTTGAGTGTCCTCAGGTTGACCTAGTTATTCTTAGATATTTATCATAAAACAAATTAATTAATATGGACATTGATACAACTTCACAGGAGAACAATTTACTATAGTTTGTATTGTTTATTTTTGGTTGAGATAAAAAAAAAAAACAACATCACTTTAAAACAATTTATTAGAACAAATTTAAAAGTGATGAAAGATTAATAAAATTAATGTTGTAGGAAATCTGTTCACACAAGTATGGAACAGAATTAATGCATTTATTCTATCTTGCTTGATGACATTGGAACTTGCATTATGCATGATTCCATCTTGCTTGATGACATTGGAACTTGCATTATGCTTAATTCAATCTTGCTACATGACATTAGAACTTGCATTATGATTGATTCCATCTTGCTTTATGATATTTAAACGTTGCATTATTCTGGATTCCATTTTTCATTATTTCATTCAAACATTTTGTAGTGACCAATTCTTTCATTGAGTGATAACTATTAAACTGGAACAAACCATTTGGAATACTAAAATGTTAACGTCTTATACCTTTATGTATAAGGTACCTTTCTTTATGCTCTATACAAACTTATTACCGTTTAGTTTTTTTTGTATTATTTTTATGTAGAAGTCATTTAAAATTGACTATTTTTTGTTCTCTGGTGGGTTTTGTTAAAATGTGACTGTATTTGATTTACAGCTCGCATGGCGTGATTACTATTAGCTTTCGCTTATATCCATTATTCAGTGTTTATGCTTAATAAAGCTCGGTTGTCTGAGGCTTTGTGGATTATGTTTGATCATCTTACATTATGATAAACAATTTAAACAATGTCTACGATTTGTGAACTGTTAAGGGCGAGAACTATGTTATCGATATCAACGATTTTTTCCATGATTCGCCTATCATCGGAATTTTCCGTACATGTAAATATTACGGAATACCGTTAGGGCCATCGTGGTTATACGTTAAATACAGAACGCGACAATGCTATCAATACGTACCAAGCGCTTAATACATAAATTGCAGTGAAAAGAATATAAATACAAGTTAGTAAGGATTATGTAATATAATTTTATACATGTATATGTATACAGTCTAATAGAAAAAAATATGCTCGTAAACAGTTATTCATGGGGTAGTTATTACGTACAGTGGCGGAACAGGCTTTGGCTTAAGAGCTGCACCTACCCCTAAAGATACGTTGATGAGCTGGGATGGAATATATACGTGTAAGTTTTCATGCAATAGTGGTCATAGTGTACTCCCTTATCAAAACATATAATGCTGTCATCCAGTTGTTAAGCACCTGCCTAGGTACTGCGAATGCGAAGGTCTTTTTCTAATGACTTGACATTAAAAGCAAAACTTATTAATTGGCCTTTTAACTTAATAAATGTCTCAGAGTCACTAATAGTGGCGAAATAGGTATGTAACACATTTTAAATATACATGTATAATATGGAAAGAAGGAAGTTGTTTATTTTTGTGACATGTGCATAGTCAATTACAAATGTTGGGCATATGTGTGTCTGATTATAGATCAGGACATCCCGCACACACAACAACCATTTCACATACATTTTGTGCTTCAGTAATTATATTTTTATCACAGAAATTTATTGAATTCGTATAGAATTCTTCTAAATATGTTTTATTTACATAAAAACACATACACATAATGTATAGGATCTGCTTTCCTTATTACGGGTCAAGTAAAGTTTTGTGCCGTGTCTTTAAAAGAAACTTCCATATATATTTTTGTAAAATACACCCTATAATATGAATATTCATTACTTGCCCACTTACCAGTGTAAAGGCTATTTTAAGCCACAATTTTGTGTTGAAAGCCAAATGATATTTTATTTTATTTTACAAAAAATCAAGTTTTGTTACTGTACTATGTCGTAGGGCCACCGAGTCATACTAAGTGTGACTATTGTGTGTTTTTATTATTCTCGTGCGCAACTGGATACTGTGTCGTGGCACGAGTAACTAAGTTTTTGTGCCCGAGATAGTTAAGTCGTGGGAACGAGCAATAATATCGTAGCACGAGGGATCTATGTCACGGCACGAGTTGAGAGTTACTAAGTCGTTTAAGTCGTGTAAACGAGATTACTAGTCGTGCAGACGGATAAGTTAATAAGTTCCATTTTTAACTTAGAAATTTCTGTTTAGATTTACGTGGGCAAATTATCTTTGAAAATACTGAAGTGTTCACTTTGAACTTAATACATTGTCTTTTAGAAATCATAAGGCCCATAATCAGACATTAATTTTGACAGTTATAGCCCTTTGTTGGGACATTCCTATGACAGGATTTGGTCATTGTGTACCGATACCAAAGGGCCTGTTTACATTGTTTATAGTAACCATACTTGAGAGGGACCTTTTGTCCTGGGAAGGTTACTTTTCCATGGACCAGTAGACTATCCTATAGGATGTTGAGGTCAGGTAGATAAACGATGACACTTCATTGTAAAATCCTTGTCTGGATGAATGATTAAGAACAGAATAGCCGTCAGTTTATATACCTAAAAAGATCAGTAGATGCAACTACTCATTTTTAGGCAATTTGGTTCAGAAATCAGGGTCACAATGACGCTAAATCTTTGACCAAGTCAATAACTTGTTAAATGGCACTTTACGGGCAAGTTGAAGTTCAGGGGCATCCTTGTTAGGGAAATTCAATATAAATTTAGTGTAATCTTGATTGCGTTATTTATCTCGTTCGCACGACTTAACTTTCTCGTGGCCCGACTAACTTTCTCTCGTGGCCGACACTGTATTGTTCCAACGACTTATTCTATATCGTGCCCACGACTTAGTTAACTCGTGGCTCACGACTATGTTATCCTCGTTCCCACGACTTAATATACCTTGTGGGCACGACTTAGTAACTCGTGGCCACAAACATAGCTATTTCGTTCGCCTCGACTTAACTATCTCGTGGCCACGATTAGTAACCCGTGGCCACGACACAGTATCTCGTGCGCACGAGATAAATAAAAACACCACATGTCACCTTTGTGGCTCCTTAAGTTTGATAAAATTCAATTTACTTATTCACACACAGTTCAAAAGAAGTGTAAACAATTGTATAAGAGGTGAGTTTGCCCTTGTCAGGATGATTTATTAAGACATATATAACTTTTTTTCACGATGCTTGCGAATCTTTCAAAACACACACTTTGTCTGCTCGGCATGCGTGTTCTCTTGTTTTTCAGTAATTTACATGTTCAGTCTCCAACCTAAGCACTGTTTCTGTATACGCCCCTATATTTAAGCTGGACGTATACTTTGCCAAAAACAGGAATCATCCGGAAGAATAACGGGAGTGTTGCCGACAAAGCGACACCTGCTGTCATAATATGAACCACAAATTTTTTGCAATCGTATTATGATTACTGCTTAGTGCCGTACATGTCACTCGGACTATAATATCAGTTATCGTTGTCATCTTCGTTGTTGCAATTATATTGTATCAGTGAATATCATTTGAAAGCATGTGGAATGCAAGACCTCAATTCAGCCAATTATTGATCAAAATGAATGGTTATTTGACATAATGTCGGATATATAAGTGGCGATTTATAGCAAATTACGATTACAACCATGTTAATATAGTTTATAAGAATGTTATCTTAAACACAAAACATAACACGTTTGTCCTTAAAAAAAGAGTGCAATTAACATCTATAGATATTAAAATATGTGGTTTGATGGTTGTAGGAACACCACAGGTTGGCAATTACATGAAGTGATTCAGTAATTATTAGGGGCATGATTGAATTCAGCAACGCGGTTTTCTTGTCATAAAAGAACAGTATGAAGCAACCATTATGTAAGTTCCGATATCATAAAGCAAGATGGAATAAATGCATTAATTCTGTTCCATACACAAGAGATTGTTGTTTTTACTTCCATTCATATTAATTTACCAAGTTTTATTAGATGTACATTAAGAAAGAAAACTGTTGGATAATTTTAAAATAAAAATAAATAAATATGTATTTGCAAAAGTTATAGTTCATAATCATAGTGTGTCAAACTAGCACTGAGAAAATGCTTAGTATTACTGTTAATAATTGAGCATTGTGTTGACTATGAAGTAAGAACTTTTTCATGTTTATCATTCAGATTGGTATTTATATATGTGAGTTGACGATGATGCATTTTCATGTTTAAATTTATTCACATTTTGCACAAAGCATTTTTAAAAAATTGTTTTATTTTCAGTATGGGTAATTTTGTATTTAGTACCAACAAAAGTAATCTTTTTTCCTAATTAAATTATTAAAAAGCATATTGTTATTTCTGTATCATTGTTTAAAATTATAGGAAGAATTTGGAATATTTTGCTTTGAATTAACTATTATTGAAGTTTTTATTGAAGTTTAATTATTTAATACAATTCAAATTATTTTTACAATTAAAACTGATTAAAAGTCACTAAAATGTTTAAAAACAGTATCAACTTCATGACATTTATTGTCAATAAGAATTCAATAAGTATTTTGTGAGCCAAGACTTATTGGCAGTGTGCCAAAGTCCTCCCCTTCTGTCTATGAATAGATCAATAATGTTGAAACTGTTTAGTGTGACATTTTCTGGGTTTATATGCCAATATGTATTCATTAAAATCAGTTTGGTCTTTTTGCCAAAAATAAGTAAAAGATATTTTTAGGCATTAATAAGTTATATAATCAAAAAGAAAGAAGTACCTTTTTTATATAATTTTGAGAAACAGATTTCCCCAGTGATTGATTTCAATAGCAGTATTTGTGAAACTTGATATACACAAAGATATTTTATTGATTAATTTGGTATGATCCGCTAGTCTATGCACTTTAACTTTCAAGTTTTTCCTTTTGACAGAATAAAAATCAGATGCTGAATTGTCAACACATGTAAAGGCTATGAAATTGTAAATATTTGACTTTCTTCCGTAGGCAAATGAACCACAAGGCTGGACTTGAAAGTGAGAAGAGAATGCGCAGAGAAATTGCCAACAGTAATGAACGCCGTAGAATGCAAAGTATCAATGCTGGATTCCAACACCTAAGGACACTTCTTCCCCACACAGAGGGTGAAAAACTTAGCAAGGTATAGTTTAATTTAAATATTTTTTTTATAAAAAAAATAAAGGAATCAGCTTTTATTCGAAGAGAAAACTGGCTGTGTTTAAAACTTTTGGAGTTGAATTTGAGGTCAAAATAGTGTTTTTACAGCTGCTGTGGAAGTTAGCTTGGCAATTTTAAAAGAAAAGCTAGTTCTGCAATATACCAAGTTAAACATAATCAGTTGTGATGTGATAATTTTACAATAAACATATAATTCCAAGTTTCAGGTAAGCAAAGCTTTAATCCTAATATACATAATATTGTCTTGAAAAGTTATCCTGTATAGGTAATTTTTTGAGATTGTAGAATAATTCATTGATGAGTAAGAGGAAGGCACTGCCATGATTTATGCAGGAAAATAAACTTTTATCTTGAAGCACATTGAAACACCTGGCTTCACTGTAAATGATAACACAGAGAATTGATGCCAACTTTCTACTTTCAGTTATTTTGCTAGCTGTTGAATGTATTGTATTTTGGCATTTTGTACTTTGTGTGAACTTTGGCAGGTGGCCAAGATTCCATCACAGAGATATTTGATGGTATTTCAGGGCAATAATTCTTGTCTAGACACAGGCATTGTCTTTGGGAGAACAGTTGAAGCAGTTTGACAACATTGAAAAGGCGTTCTAAGGCTCAAAGACTGCTAAATATTACAGAATACTTTTTATAAGACTTCATACTTCAGAATAATTTTTAAAAGACTTCCTTAATTCTATTTATCTTCCTTAAATTTTCTGTCTTAAAAAAAACTGTAGTGAATAATGTAATACTTCCTTATTTCTTTTAAATTTAATCTTTGTCATGACTGTCTCACTAAATTCTCTATAATACTTGCAACAGGACAATGTCCGAAACATTGGTATATAATTTAATGAGACTATGCCATTGGTATTTAATGGAATTCCGTGCTAAATGCAGACTCATAGAATAGCTGTCTGATTTTAGCATTTATTTTGTTGTAATCTCTTAGATTAAGAATTGACATAACTGGTACTGGTCAATTTTACCACAAAGCAAGTCCATTACACATAGTTATTCTGGTGCCAGTTGTTTGTGAATCTCCATCATTTAACATAATCAGAAGCATGTATATGTATAATAATGTAAGTGTGTCAGTAGTAGGATCAATATATAGAGAGAAACATATGTTCACTTAAATTACATTATATGCTATGAATATGTGACAGCAGCTGGTGTAGAAAATGCACTTGACTATACTCTGAGTCAGAACAACTTCATACTGGTGGCTTTCTAATTCTAATCCTGAAATCCTTGATGTTTAAATAACCTTTGCAAAAGACAGCTCTGTATATAAAACAGGGCATGTATATGAAATATATTTGTAAAGATATAATGATAACCGGATGTGGTTTTATGTCTTCAGCCTAATTATTCATTGAATGATGATCTTAACAAATGTGAGGTAGAAAGAGGCACTTACCCTGGCTGTGATTGTTTTTATAGGTTGGTTACTTTGATCTTGGAAGGATGAAGAAGTGTAGTAATTTATGAATGAAATATTCATGAGAAATGATGTCAAGGGTACTTAGTAGTGATAAATGTATTCATTATGTTGTTATAGATTGAAGATAAAAACGTATTGCCAATATTAGCATAATATTTGAATGAATAATATTATATATACTGAATTGTCATACAATTTGTAACAATGTTTAGAAAGGAATGGTGATTGATCTAGTCTTGTTCAGAGAAGGCAATCTAATTGTTATCATATGCAATCTTTTTTCTTTTCTTTTTAATTAAAATTAGCTGCATGTAATTGGATGGTGAATTACATGGCACATGTGATTTTGATTTACAAGCAAAACATTGATTATATAAACTTTCTCCAGCCCTTATTTTCCAGGGGAAAGATCTTGTTAATTAAGTATTAAATTAATTGTTTTTCTTCGATTATGAAATTTAATTAATGATTCTGTAAAACTTTCAAGTTTCTTTATGTTGATTTTACAAATATTTTATTCAGTTTACCATAAATGTTTTAGGTTTATTCACCAGATGTTAGAGATACTGTACTGAAAGGGCAAATACTGTCTGGATGTAATGTCATTTTTATTTTTGGCAAATTGTAAAAAGACATTTAACAACCGGATACATATTTATAACACCTGTTTAACTGGCCATGCTAGACACAACATGGTTCACCTTACAGTAACCTTTCTACTGGCCTACTTAGCTTTACGCGGACATAATCAAGCTGTGTACATGATTCAGGTGGCCAGTTTATTTAGTGTGTCCAGTAAGAAAGTCAAAATTAAATCGAAGAAAATGTACATTTTGTATCATATAGTAAGAGCTTTTTATGGATTTTACAGTACTGTAACATCAAATGGTATTTATATTTAACAAGAAAAAAAATCAAATGTTGAAAAAAAAAGTTATTTTTATATTCGTTTTCTCCAAGTTGACCCTGGCCTATAAAAGTTACGAAACAAAACATTAGTAAATGTGAGTGGGCTAATACAATATATACAGTCGAACTTCGTTCGCTCGAACTCGGAGGGCCTGTGCAAATTTGTTCGAGCGATCGGTAGTTCAGGCGAACCGAGGTTGAACAATGATTACATAGAACATAGGCTTAAGGTTTTCCAGCTTATATCGGTCAAATGATAAATACGTCAATAAAACTGTTATTAGTACATCTGTTTGTCGAATACGTCATATTAAGAATTATTATCCTATTGAAAACACTATTAATGGTGCACGGTGTTAATCTATATTCATGCATATTGTAATTGGTTGAGTTCGATCGGGCGATCATTATCCAAACTGTGAACAGTGTTCAAGTTTATTATGGGATGAATTTTATTTTAAACAATGAATCGATAAAATATAAAAAAAAAACAACATTTTACAGCAGAATCTATTTGTAGTCATTTACTAAAATAAACACACATACAAGTATCATTCTATAAATAGATTACACTGTTACAATTCACGTTACATGAACCACGGTTGTAATTAAAGCCGTCCGGGTAAACGTCATTTACTTATTTATTTACTTTGGGCATTTCAGGAGTTACTTTCTTTTTATCGTTACTAAAGACTGCAGATAAACAATTGTATCATAACAAACAAATCGGTAAAACACCTTTTATTTTGTATCAATTAACCATAATTGCTTTTGTCACGATCACGAGGTGTTAAAAGCATGTGTCGCCGACTGTCAATTATTTAGAACATGTTGACCCGCAACTTTTTTTGTCTGTTTGAGTTCGACCGAAAAGGTGTGATTTACACTATATTTCTGCCGAAGGGACCGGAGATCAGGTTCGAGAGTTCGAGCGATGGGTGTTAGTGATCCGAGGTAGAACAGTATATATTATATAGGAATTTTGCCGGGACTTGGCGATGAGTTCGAGCGAAGGGAGGTATTCGAGCGATCCGAGTTCGAGCGAACGAAGTTTAACTGTATATATATATATATTGTGGTGGTGTAATCTGGAACAATATTTAAAGAGACAATATTCCAAGAGTTACAGCACTCCTTTAAAATTCATCTTAAAGAGGTTTATATAATAACTTTCATTCATGGAGAAATTTGATCAGTTTTCCTGTAATAGAAATATAAATATAGACCCATTTATTGCTTTCATTTGTATGTATCCATTTTTTTGTAACTTATGATTTTAATCTGTGGTTGAGGAGTGGAAGAGATTGATAACAGTTAATTTTCCTCAGGGTGTGGTGTTAATATAAAATTCCCAGAGATAGACGAAGCTGATTTAATGGCAGCAATTATTTCCATTTTTAGATCGTAAGTTCCATGTGATATGAATAATTTTAAATTTGAGTTTAAATGTAAAATAACAAATAATCATGATTGAAAGTAAAAAACTGAAATAAATTATAATTTTATTGTAATTATGTAATATCAAAGTTTCAGTTAATGAGTAACAGTCTTGGGAAGTTTAAAGCACACATCTTTTCTCATAATAGGACTATAATAATGCAGATGATATGCACATGAAATCTAAAATGCCCTGGGTTTGTTTTTTTTCTCACGGTTTTATAGTAAAGACAGGTTACCCTTTTCCCACAGTTCAGAAACCAAAATATTTGTGATGGTAGTTAAAATTTAACATACAGGGAATTGGTGCTAGGTCATGACCTTACAAGACACAGGTTTCTATAACCTCAATTGTGAATTTGTTTATGTGATGATGAAATAAGCACCATTTTCTCTTGTGTTATTGTTTATATGCTAACAGTGCATGCTAGGTGACAGTTTTGACTGTTTTTTTTTATCATTTTATGGCAGAAGTAATTGTTATTTATTGATATTGATATTTTCTATGCAATTACACAGTTGGTATTTGGTGGCCAGCCAAGTGTCTGACCTATTGACCACTATATAAAGTAAATTACTTTATAGACTGTTATCTTTTGAATTACAATAAAGTCATTACTTTCCATTGAATTTTAACACGTTTGTATCCTACTATAATGGCTAATTGCTTACATAATTAAGTTTATTATTCCTTATTATACATGTATATTGCTTTTCGCAATACTGCTGATCAAAACAAAATATCAAAATCCTGTAAAGTTGATAATTTCAAAGTTCAAAGAAGGAATGTGTTTGTTATGGTGTCTTGTTCCAATATATTTTCTTTAGATTGAATGCAAATATTTCATCCTCTAAAGACTGAAGTATCATAATGATTGACATGTCAGAATAATAAGAGCATGTAATTGATTTTCTGTCTGAATTCTTGCCTTGTTAATATGTCAGTAACATTTTCCCTTCTGATTGTTTAATGACAAAAGTGCTCTCTACTCAATTAGAGAAAATCACTTAGTGGAAACCGAAATCTTATTGTAACACTGTTGTGTGTACTGTTTTACAATTATGTGAGGAGCGTGAAATCTTTCACACTGTAATGATGTGAATTGAAACGTGTGACATGGAATACAAAAGCTAAACAATTAGGGACATTTATAGGCTGATCAATATGAAATGGCCCTGTAAGTCACCTGTCATGATATTTGTTTGGCCTTTTTGAAAACATTTGAGGGAAAAATAAAAGACTGCTAATAAACATAAAAAAGATAATTAGTGTATGAAAGATTATATCTATCAGTCATATTGATAGTGATCTATGAATTGATTTATTTATTGTTAATCAGCTCTTGTCTATGAAGTACTTGTATATTGATATATATGGTTATGTTTTTATAGAAGGTCAGCAGATCTTATGTGCCTGCTTCAGTGGTATATAAAACAGTAAAGGGTGTTTGCAACCTTCTTTTGTCTGAAATATCGCCAAATTACCAATTTATGAACATGATTCATTGTTGGCCAGTCTCAAGCAGATATTAATGTTTTTAAAACAAGAGATATGTTTTCATTATAAGACATGATTATTAAATGTCTCAACATTTAAAATGAAGTTATTTTTGCTTGTTGTATTTACTGAAATTGTAAATCGCAGCTCATTAGATGATAGTATTTTCAAGAGCTATTTAAGAGGGATTTCCTTTGATATATGACTGTAAAAACAGTACTGTTTGTAAACAGAGGATCTGGACCAATGGAGAGTATGATTAATTAACTGCCTTGTAAATATTTAATGTGGACAAGCTGAAGCCATTGTCAATTATTCAGTATTTAAGTAAAGGCCTGGACTATTAGATCATTGTTTATTACCAATAGCATGCAATATTATCTAACCCACTGAGGTAACATGCAAAGTAAGGAAGGAGAATAAATGGTATGGAATGGACATGTTGAATAGAGTATTTATTAAAACAAATCTAAGATCATATTGTAATGTGCTTGTTAAATGCTATAAACGATATTATTAACCATATTTGCCACTAAGGATTACCAATTCATTATTGTATGCATCATCCATGTATGAAAAAAAGTTGGATATATTATAAACATAAATTCTATAACTATAAAAAAAATTCTATGGTTTGCGCTTTTTTCAACAGTTAAATTAATTTTTTTGTGCTCTTTCTATTTAAGGCTGCCATTCTACAGCAGACAACAGATTTTATCAGAAACATGCAACAGGAAAAGGCAAAGATTCATGCCCAGAATGCTTACTACAAGCGCTTGCTAAGTGAAGTAAGTCGACGGTGTAACATTGACCTAGAAATGGATATATCGTTATGTGGAGGGTCGCCTCCGTTAAAACGGAAAAAGCGAGACACAGGTATGTTGCTTTTCACCAGAAACTGATCTGTGTATTTCAGATCAATATATTTTAAAACATGTATTGCCAGTATTGATCACAACAAAAAAAGGTCACTTAATTGTTCAACGTATAGAACATTTATTACTGTTTTCCATTATTTTTATGGCTTTCAATCAGTTGAATTCTTCTTGTTTTCAATACTAAAAGTGCTTGAGTGGCTGTGTCCTAGTGAAAACTGAACTTTAGGTTTGATCTGCCTTTTTCCTATGGTAAAATTCTCCATTTAAAGAGTTTTTTTCCCCCATTACACAATTGTAGAATCATCAGATGAAGGTATTACTGCAGATTTTGAAGAATGTAAATATGAAGATGTGAGAAGAGAGGTGATGGAACTACGACAGAAACTGGAGCAAGAACGACAACTACGCATGGTCCTTGAGTTGAGGGCACATACCCTTGAGTCGCATCATTATGCTGAAAAATTACAACACGCAAACCATGTTGAGCAACAAGTACATTTGCCATCTGTTCCTATGGAAAAGGTATAATTTTAATGAAACATTGATTAGTAAAGTGATTGATATAGGTTTTCTTTAGATATACAGTATATTGACTAGAATCTGTCAAAGATTATTAAAGACATGTAGTGTACCTACCCATTCAGTTACATGTTAACAAAGAGATCAAAGGGAATTCTTTGCCTGAAAGGTTGGTATGAGATTTCTGTAGAGCGGTATATTGTGATTGGATTCCTTTTTGTTGGCCTTGAAATCATGAATACTGGGTTTATTCTAACTTGCAGCTCTTGATCATGTATGCTTGCCAAGATTTGTAGCGCTTAATTAGTAGTGTAAAAATATTGTTCAAAAACAAGCCAATCTATATAGTAAACTATCAGTGACATATATCAACTTTAACAAGTTGACACCATCTGAGCTTTAATACTGATTAAACAGTCCTGGCGAAGATCCATTAGTGTATTAATACACTCCGCAATCATGGCAGTCATCCAAAACCTGAGCTTTTAGTTGCTTTGATAACATACTAGGGCTATATATCATAATCTGTTTTGAAATTTAAGTCTGGTTTTATTTAGTGAATGAAGTCGCTAGTATTTCTTTTGAATGTTAAAAGTAAGGTATGTAAAGGGTTGATTTCATGTCATGATAGTAACTCAGGCATGAAATAGACTGTAAAACCTCCGAAAGACATATGATAGCTTGTCTGAAGTTCATTAGGTCAGACTTGAATGATTGCCGATTCGAGGTGTGAGAAATGTTTATTAATTTACATAATGTATGGTCTTCAAACACAAACAAATCATCCTTTATTCAAACCTGAAAATTTGCTGTATCTTTCTTGTGTTAGTTAATATCTTTAATAGTTTATATCTTTAATCATTATGCTTATTTTGTTTGTAGCCTGTATCTGTGACAGAAGAACCTAAACGAGAAGAACAAGGGCCGGCTCTGCCACTGTGTGCTGACCACGAGAATGATCATCCATCATCATCACCTACTAGACCTGAGCCAGTAGATACTCCAAGCTCCATGTCCCGCAGGAACTTGGAAACCATCGTAGAAGCCATACGCCATCTAGAAGGGGAGAGTATTAAAAACGATCAACAGTATTCCGCCCCAATTTCATTGTCACAAGCAGAGGCATTGCATCCAAAAATGTATATTCACCACAGTGAGGAGAGTGAAAATTCATGTGACGATTTAAGATCGGAAAGTTCGGGACGGGATTCTCCGTCAGCTCACCACCATCATAATTATGTCAGACTACAAAGTGCACAAAACTTACAACATGTGTCGTCTCCAAAACTAACATCATCTAGTGTTGTAATGACCAGTTCTAGCTATTCAGACAAATACCCTGCAGTAACAAATGTTCTACAAGGAAATTCAGCACAATTACAAATGTACTACAGACCAGGTGTTATTGTACAGAATTCTTAACGAAAGATGATGAATATCATGAAAAAAAGTATTGTAAAATCATTCATTGAAACTTATTTATTTCGCATCATCTGTCATTCATTATAAAAAACTGTCTTGTTATGTTGTTGTTATATATTTTTCATGTGTACATACAGACAGGATAATTTCATACATATAATATCATATCATACATTTCATTAGCCAGTATGAAAAACAAATTTGACTTATTTTGGAAAACTTAAAAAAAAATTGAATTTCAATAGATGCAACTTTACAAAAAATAGTCCTAATTTTAGATATTATTCATGTTTAAAATTTTTTATTTTTTTGGAAGTTGTTCAAAAAAAGTTATTCATTATCATAAATATTCGTATTTCATGTAATACTATATTTCGTATGTCGTCACTGCCAAATTCCAAATATTACGATGAACTATTAGTGCTTTATTGTGAATGTATATTGTAAATACTGGTGATATTTAATTTATATGTGCATCAGACATGTTTGTTGAGAAATTGAATTTGTTAATGTTTTTAAGTATTAGTGAAAGTTCAAATCAAATTATCAGTGTGTGTTGAAATATTGTTACAGTCCTGTCTGTAAGTGGTCAATTTTGTATATGTCAAGTTTTGTTGATACTTTTGTTTTTGATCATGTTTGTTATATATATAAAGGCTCAATTATTGTTTATATGTATGTATTTGTATACAAGTATTAAACTATTAAGATTTTTTTGTTATTGACAATGATTAGAATTGTTTAAGACTTTTCCTTTTTGTGATGGCTTCTGTGAAATTAATGTGTGAACATAGGTAATTTAACTTAAAAATCAATGAAGAAAAACAAAATAAATACCTTTAAAAAATGAAAACTTGTAAACCTTTTAGTGATTTAGATCTTTCTATATAGGATAAGTATGAATTCATACAGTTATGTCATAGTTTTGAAACAATGAAACTTAAAATGGTAATGTTTCTTATCTTGTTGTCAAGGTTGTCATTATTTTCTATGAATGTCTATTTTGATAAATGGTAAGCTTATAAGACATATGCCTTATTTACACTACCAATACCCCTTCAACCTGATAAAAACAATAAATAATTGAAATTTTATGAAATACAAGCAGTTTTACCATTTTGTTTGAATGAAATCTAAAACAAGGAAGCATTTGATGTTTGAATTAGAAATAATTTTATGTTTGTTTGTTTTGTTTTTTAATAGAAAAAAAACAAACATTTTCAGCTGAAGACCTTTAAATACAATGATTAAATTGCATACTGTAACCTAGCAACTTACTATTATCAGTTTTGACCTTTATAACTTAGACTTAACTCAACACAATGTACATGTTTTTGAGTTTTTCAAGTGTGACAGTAGTTTTATATATTTGATGACTGGAAATGATAGATACATGTATATTTAATGTTTTACCATTATTTGATGCTTGAGCCATGACTTCAAGAAGAAAGTTTCATTCTCGACTGTTATTTTAAAAGATCAACCAAAAATCTTTATATCAGTATTTAAACAATAATCCTATTCATAGAAGTAAAACATTTTTAAAAAACGCAGCTGAAAGCTGAATATAGTAAAACAAAGCGGTTTATGTTTGGTGGATATTTATGTGTACTAAATTGACAAAAGTGAATGTGTTAGATATTATTCAGTGTTGAAGAGATGTGATATTTTGTGAAGTACATGGCCAGCGTCCAAGTCAATGCCAATCAATGCAAAGAAAGTTATGACACACTGTGTGATTTACACTGTTGTGACATTCACTTTTATCAGTTGTATATAGACACTTTCTAATTGTATTTATCGTGTAACTGGTTAAACATGAATACCTGGAGAATACTGTAAACATGAAAGTTTTTTTTTTAAGGAATAAACACATTTTTACAAGGCTTAAGGGTTTGCTATGATTAAGTAGTAACAAAAGGTAGAGAATGTGATAATAAAAATCCTTGTTAATATAGAGCTGACGTACATTGCCTTAAAACACTTAATGAAACTACCAAACCTTTGTCACATGGTACTTCTACAATACTTAGTAATAAATTATGGGAAGTAAACATCAAAATATTTACAACTGTCAGAGTAATTTTTGATAAAAAAAATTTAGCAAGTGACTTTTTTTCTCAAGACCTGTGACTTGTACAACTTGTAGTATGATAAAGCAATTTGTTTGATATTGATTACTGGTTTTTCAATTAGCAAGTTTTATTTCATTGCCAGTAGGCAATACCATATGCAGCATTTTACATTAAATACTTTAAAAGAAAATATAGGGCATAAATCTTCGTAAAAAATACTTTTGTTGTTTCCAGTCTTCGCCTTAATTTTTTATCAGCACTAGCCCAGTCGGGCTAGCAGCTTACAAATTTCACTAGCCCGAACACATTTTAACAAGCCCGAGCCAAAATGGTATTTTTTGCATACATTATGTACAAAAATAACACTTTCTATATGTTTTATATACCATTTAACATTATTAAAATATCAACTAATCAACTTTCATTATTATGCCCCCATTTTGAAAAAAAGGGGGTATATTGCTTTGCACTTGTCGGTCCGTCGGTCCGTCGGTCCGTAGACCAAATGGTTTCCGAGTGATAACTAAAGAACCCTTAGGCCTAGGAACTTCAAACTTGGTATGGTGATTGGTCATGACCAGTAGATGACCCCTATTGATTTTGGGGTCAAGGGGTCAAAGGTCAAGGTCACATTGACCTTGAAAGCAAAAAAGGTTTCCGATCAATAACTAAAGAACCTTAAGGCCTAGGAACTTCAAACTTGGTATGGTGATTGGTCATGACCAGTAGATGACCCCTATTGATTTTGGGGTCAAGGGGTCAAAGGTCAAGGTCACATTGACCTTGAAAGCAAAAACGGTTTCCGATCAATAACTAAAGAACCTTAAGGCCTAGGAACTTCAAACTTGGTATGGTGATTGGTCATGACCAGTAGATGACCCCTATTGATTTTGGAGTCAAGGGGTCAAAGGTCAAGGTCACATTGACCTTGAAAGCAAAAACAGTTTCTGATCAATAACTAAAGAACCTTAAGGCCTAGGAACTTCAAACTTGGTATGGTGATTGGTCATGACCAGTTGATGACCCCTATTGATTTTGGGGTCAAGGGGTCAAAGGTCAAGGTCACATTGACCTTAAAAGCAAAAACGGTTTCCGATCAATAACTAAAGAACCTTAAGGCCTAGGAACTTCAAACTTGGTATGGTGATTGGTCATGATCAGTAGATGACCCCTATTGATTTTGGGGTCAAGGGGTCAAAGGTCAAGGTCACATTGACCTTGTAAGCAAAAACGGTTTCTGATCAATAACTAAAGAACCTTAAGGCCTAGGAACTTCAAACTTGGTATGGTGATTGGTCATGATCAGTAGATGACCCCTATTGATTTTGGGGTCAAGGGGTCAAAGGTCAAGGTCACATTGACCTTGTAGGTAAAAACGGTTTCCGATCAATAACTAAAGAACCTTAAGGCCTAGGAACTTCAAACTTGGTATGGTGACCAAATGGTTTCCGAGTGATAACTAAAGAACCCTTAGGCCTAGGAACTTCAAACTTGGTATGGTGATTGGTCATGACCAGTAGATGACCCCTATTGATTTTGGGGTCAAGGGGTCAAAGGTCAAGGTCACATTGACCTTGAAAGCAAAAACGGTTTCCGATCAATAACTAAAGAACCTTAAGGCCTAGGAACTTCAAACTTGGTATGGTGATTGGTCATGACCAGTAGATGACCCCTATTGATTTTGGGGTCAAGGGGTCAAAGGTCAAGGTCACATTGACCTTGAAAGCAAAAACGGTTTCCGATCAATAACTAAAGAACCTTAAGGCCTAGGAACTTCAAACTTGGTATGGTGATTGGTCATGACCAGTAGATGACCCCTATTGATTTTGGAGTCAAGGGGTCAAAGGTCAAGGTCACATTGACTTTGAAAGCAAAAACAGTTTCTGATCAATAACTAAAGAACCTTAAGGCCTAGGAACTTCAAACTTGGTATGGTGATTGGTCATGACCAGTTGATGACCCCTATTGATTTTGGGGTCAAGGGGTCAAAGGTCAAGGTCACATTGACCTTAAAAGCAAAAACGGTTTTCGATCAATAACTAAAGAACCTTAAGGCCTAGGAACTTCAAACTTGGTATGGTGATTGGTCATGATCAGTAGATGACCCCTATTGATTTTGGGGTCAAGGGGTCAAAGGTCAAGGTCACATTGACCTTGTAAGCAAAAACGGTTTCTGATCAATAACTAAAGAACCTTAAGGCCTAGGAACTTCAAACTTGGTATGGTGATTGGTCATGATCAGTAGATGACCCCTATTGATTTTGGGGTCAAGGGGTCAAAGGTCAAGGTCACATTGACCTTGTAGGTAAAAACGGTTTCCGATCAATAACTAAAGAACCTTAAGGCCTAGGAACTTCAAACTTGGTATGGTGATTGGTCATGATCAGTAGATGACCCGTATAGATTTTGGGGTCAAGGGGTCAAAGGTCAAGGTCAATGTGACCTTTTAATTAAAAACGGTTTCTGATCAATAACAAAAGAACCCTTAGGCCTAGGAATTTCAAACTTGGTATGGTGATTGGTTATGACCAATCAGATGACCCCTATTGATTTTGGCGTTAAGGGGTCAAAGGTCAAGGTCACATTGACCTTGTAGGTAAAAACGGTTTCCGATCAATAATGAAAGAACCCTTAGGCCTAGGGACTTCAAACTTGAGATGGTGATTGGTCATGATCAGTAGATGACCCCTATTGATTTTGGGGTCTAGGGGTCAAAGGTCAAGGTCACATTGACCTCTTAGGTAAAAACGGTTTCCGATCAATAACTAAAGAACCCTTAGGCCTAGGAACTTCAAACTTGGTATGGTGATTGGTCATGACCAGCAGATGACCCCTATTGATTTTGGGGTTAAGGGGTTAAAGGGCAAGGTCACATTGACCTTGTACGTAAAAATGCTTTCCGATCAATAACTTAAGAACCCTTATGCCTAGGAACTTCAAACTTGGTATGGTGATTGGTCATGACCAGCAGATGACCTATTGATTTTGGGGTCAAGGGGTCAAAGGTCAAGGTCACATTGACCTTGTAGGTAAAAACGGTTTTCGATCAATTAACTAAAAACGCTTAGGCCTAGGAACTTCAAACTTTGTGTGATGATTGGTCATGACCAGCAGATGACCCCTATTGAGTTTTAGGTGAAGGGGTCAAAGGTCAAGGTCACATTGACCTTTTAAGTAAAAACGGTTTCTGATCAATAATTCAAGAACGCTTAGGCCTAGGAACTTCAAACTTGGTATGGTGATTTGTCATGACCAGCAGATTACTCCTATTGATTTTGGGATCAAGGGGTCAAAGGTCAAGGTCACAATGACCTTGTAAGTAAAAACGGTTTCTGATCAATAACTAAAGAACGCTTCGGCCTAGAAACTTCAAACTTGGCATGGTGATTGGTCATGACCAGCAGATGACCCCTATTGATTTTGGGGTCAAAGGTCAAGGTCACATTGACCTTGTATGTTAAACGGTTTCCGATCAATAATGAAAGAACCCTTAGGCCTAAGAACTTCAAACTTGGCATGGTGATTGGTCATGACCAGCAGATGACCCTATTGATTTTGGGGTCAAGGGGTCAAAGGTCAAGGTCACATTGACCTTGTAGGTAAAAACGGTTTCTGATCAATTTACTAAAAACGCCTAGGCCTAGGAACTTCAAACTTTGTTTGATGATTGGTCGTGACCAGCAGATGACCCCTATTGAGTTTTGGGTCAAGGGGTCAAAGGTCAAGGTCATGACCAGTAGATACTTTATAACCCTTATAAATTGTTTGATCACTGGGTCAGAAGTCATGCATAATAACCTTATCACATGACTAATTGGCTGCTGATAGGGGGCATACATGTTTTACAAACATATCTTGTTTAAATAAGATTTTAGAAGAGTTTAAACTACATATGAAAAGAAGATATTTTGATATCCACAGACACTGAAAAAAATTGTTTAAAAACTGAAATACTGTTCTCCTCGTTTACTGTAACCATGTCGGCTGATACATGCATTGACAACATATTTATATTCCCATTTCGTATTACTTTTATTTTTTTGGTGTGTTCCTTTTTGGCTTAGTGCCTTCAAAATACAAGAGAAAAGACGTATTGTGAAGCATGAGATGATGCCTAATAAATGTCTAACAATCAATAATATTTCATATAAGTGTTTTAAGTTCAATAAAGCTGCAAATAATTTTTAGGGCCAAAGTGGTTAACCCATCAAAATCTAGAGTAAAATGAAAATTCTGGGGTGAAATTTATAAAAAGAATTTGCATTGTTTTGTTATCAAATTTCATTGCCTTCTAAAAAGTTCCTTTCTTTACATAAATCAGACTGACTTGTATAATAAAATATTGATTCAATGTGAAATAATACAAAACTTGCTCTGTAAAGGCAGGCTTCCCTAGACTAGGGTTTGTTTAGGTTACACAGCAAATTAATGACAAGACTCATTTTTGTTGTTGCTGACATGTTGTTGTTTGAATGTGTCACATTCTTTTACAATCAGCTACATGGTCAGCATGAGGCTTTATTCATACTCTATTTCTACAGACTACATTTTAGTGCCGTTCTTTGGTTTTGATTATTTATGATTGAAATTAGAATTAATGAAAAATAAATATAATAGAATTAAAACTTTTATACACAAAGAATTAGTCTTTGAGGAAATTGTCCGAAACTGTAAACTTGGTACGAAAATATTGAGTACAAAACTGCAGATGGCAAGGGAGAAATATGTTTTCCAATAACTAAAGTGGCAAGTACAACATTTTTCTTTATTTTGTAGCAAAAACCTTATA